GAAAACTCAAAGTCTAGTCTTCTATTGCAAACAATCCATAGAAAGGATAACGACACAAACAAAGTTTCAGCTGGAAAGAAGTCTTGCTTAGCTGGAGATATTGGGAACACCACCCTCTGAAAACATATCTTGACAAATCTGGATTGCCCCTGGGATTAATTTTGGATGCCCCAAGTTTACTGCTGATAAGCTGCGAGATGCACGACAATTCTCGCGAATAGCTTCACTTCTAACATGCCCCAAGCTATCTGGTTGATGAGGAGAAATCGTCTCAAGAGGATTTTACAAAAGACCTGGCATTCACCATGCTCTGGTGTCTTCAAACTCTTAGAGGAATTCATCAAATCTCGACGTGATTGCCCCGGATTGACTGTAGTTGGCACAACAAAGTCTTCAAAATTTGCCCCAAAAGAGTAAACAAGTTGGGAAAGCATTAGCTGGGAGAAGCAACATGTCCGTGCTTAAGGTCTTCAGGTGACATGCCCCTGGATATGATTTTTTCTTGACGTGATCCGCCAATTACTCAACATAGTTTCAGGCCTTAAAAGAATAAAACTCATCACTGGTGCTTATATGTGAGTTTCCTTGATATCAAACAAATGTTTTGCAGTTGGAAAATTTTATTATGAGAATGAAAATTCTAATGCAACAGTTATGTAAGTCTTGAAGATTTTGAAAAGATATCGCACAAATTTTTGCGAGTTAGAGCACCATTTATTTTTGTATAGGAAAAACATATGATACCATCATAACTATTTAGAACATTTATGGGAGTCAGGAACACTATCTCATTGAAGTATGCTTTCAAAATAATCTTGCTTCAATTAGGACTTTTGAAGGTTGTAATGTGGCCTGGTTCACGGTTTTAGAAAAAAGATTTTAAGGCTCAAAATATTTGGTGCCCACCCCCTTCATGATGTTCTCCAACCCTATATTCAGTTAATTCAACATGAGTGTTCATCTCTCAAAAGGATTTTGTGACGGTCAAGGAAACGACGAGGCTTTCGGAGTAGAAACCGCCCTCATGTCTTCGTGTTTGTAGTCACCAATTTGTTATTTGTTGAGGACTTTTCTTTGCAGTCCTTTTCTTTGCAATTTTTATTTTCCCTAACTTTTGCCTGAACTAATTCTTTTGAATTGATAGTCCAGCGGGATGCCTTAATTTTGCCTAAGTCACACGTTTTCATGTTTTTTGACTTAGCAGGCTTTTTCTTTTTTTTTTTTCTCGATTTTTGACTTTTTGAACAAAATGTGTGACATTAGCTTGTCTTTGCTTGTTGAGAGGATTGTGATTGCCTCGTTTCTTGATGAATGAGGGATAACATTGTGATTCCACATCTTCTGGCTTCATTATACATGAAAGATAGCCCTCGTAGTTTCTCTTCAAAAAACATCTTCCTTATGAATTTCGAACACTCAGTCAGATTAACTAAAAACTACCCTGCCCCAGGTTAAAATTCAAGGTTTTTTCGTATAGAAAAGAAACTTCTACTTCAAGGCTCAAAAGGGGTTAGCAAGGGATTATCTTCCTTATATCTCCGGTGTTTAGGGATTTGAAACAATGCCTGTACATCATCAGCAAGATTTTATCCAAAAGCATGTAACCAGAGATTTTGTGTTCTTTAGATCATCATCCTCCCTTCAATCTCTGCCTAGGCAAGAGAATGGGCAACAAGTTGGTATCATAATGCAAAAATAAATTTAAAATTTGAAAACAAATATGAGTGAAACGAATGAATTTCTTCAAGACAAACATATTCATTGTATTAAGATAATCATTCAGATGCAAACAAGTTCTTTCATGCAAACAATGTTTTGATAAACAAGAAAAGTTACAAAAAGCAGAAATAAGTTAATAATCTGGGAAGGCTTTCCATCTGGACTTGAATTACCGAAAACATCCTTCAAAAATCAAAGTGACCATCAATCGTGTTTACTCTTTGGCACATGCTTGATTTGAACCTCAAAACCAACGTCCTTGAATGACAAGATACCACTTTTGACCAACTTCTGAACTTCAATCTTCAAAGCAAAGCAACCCTCTAAATCATGCCCAGGAGCACCTTGATGAAAAGGTACAAGCCAAATCAGCTTTGTAGTACCAATGTATCTTCTCAGGAACCTTCGGTGGAGGTCGGGTCTGAACCAAATTCCTCTGCATCAAGATAGGGAACAACTCTGTATAGGTAATTGGAATTGGATCAAACTGGGTTTTCCTCTGATTAGGAACTTGCTGATTCTGTTGATGAATAGGAGAAACATGATGATTCTGATGATGATTATTTCTACCTCTGGTTCTCTTTTTTTGGAAAAGTCATTATCAAACTTCTTCACACCATTAGCTGAGCTACCATCTTCATATAAACATCCCTTTCAGACATCTTCTTCTAGACCCACTCCCACATTCACCTTGTCAAGAAAGTCATTAGGTGCATTAACCATCACCTTCTCATGAGAGAATGATTTTAGAGTTTCAGTGAATACTTTTATCATCGCTTCCTCCCTCCTAGAAGGATTGACTTGGGCGGCAACCAGAATTTCAACCAAACCAGTTAAGTGCTCCATACTAGCTTTCAAATTAGTCATCTCTCTACGGAGTTCAGAAACCTCTTGCTTGATATTCTCCATTGTTCTCTTAGCGCGAGTGTTGTACTGGTGAGACCAAAGGAAAAATAAGACTCGGAAAAAGACCTTTGAAAGTGAAACAAAAAATGTAGAATGATGTATGATATGCAAAAGAGAGTTTTTATCTGACTTTCAAGGAACTCAAGATATTAAGTTGGAAACATCAAAGTATGAAGATAGAAGATGAATTTTGAACTGGCTCCAAACATTGATCAAGTTATCATCAAGATCAATCATCCATTTTGGTGGATTAGGGTTTTCGCCCTATCAACACCCAAGATCCATTGAGCTTGACGAAACTTGTGATGTTTACAAAGAAAGACCTCCAAATTCCTTCAAAGTCAAGTGAAAAAGGTTTTATGGATGCATGAATGCATGGCTATGCAAAAACCACAAGCAAGGTCACAAATAAAGTCGAAAGGTTCAACGTCACGAGCATGGAGTCAAGGTAAGGAACACCCCCAAGGTATGTACTAACGGTTTAATCACACCTGTAGAACAAGGTTCTAAGAGTTCCCGGAGTCTACATTCCTCCTTCGGATATTACCAACGTCTTGATTACTCAATAATCAGCAATATTCTCAAGAGAAACTCATCCGAGCGTAGCATCGCGTAACAATTACTTCCGGATTACTCCGTTATAATCTCCGCGCTACACCTAAAAGGCCAAGATGGGTTAGGGTTCTACGGTTCCCAGCTTCTCTGGCTCCCAGGTCGAAAATAATAATGTCTTCCCGATTACTCGGTAAACAAATATTACATTCAAAAGGGCCTTCCACTGAGTGGGGGATCTCATGCCTCCTTCTTCGGGATTACTCCCTCAAAGTTAACATGACTATACCGCCCGTCCTATTCCTAAGTGTAACTTAGTCCGGGTATAGGACTTGTCCTTTGTAAATATTATCAACACCCAAATAATCATAATATATACATATAATCAAACAATCAAATAATGATAAAACAGATAAAACAAATTAGGCTTAACTCACTTAGGGATGGACCAGCAAGAGGTCAATCTTTCCCCAGCAGAGTCGCCAATTCTGTAGCGGTGAAAATCGGAGATCGAGCTATTAATTAACTCAACTCGCAAAAGCAAGAGTCGCCACCGCGCTTTATTGTTTCCAAGGGAAAAGGGAAAAGAGCGAAATAAAACCCTAAAATATGCAATGTAAAATAATACTTAAAAGTAATAAAAAATACAATGCGTTTTGAAAAGAGATCGAGAGTTCGGGGGTTGGTTATACAATGGGAAGGTATTAGCATCCAATGCATCTGCGGTACTCCGCAGGAACCTTTTGAAATATCTGTTTTTTGGTTACAAATTGTTTGTTTGATTAAAATGGTTCGTTTGGCTAAAAAAAATGGGTATGGACGAGATTTTGAAGATGCGACGACCTAGTGTCGAAGTTTTGACTTAAAAGGTATGAGTTTGAAAATGGAGTCTTTTGGGAAAATTATCTTAAGTTTAACAAAATAGTAAAACAAAGATGAAGGAGGATATTCGCTTAATCGTATAACATGTGTTTGATGACATGAAGTCAACAAAGTTAGAACGTTTCCCTTGGAGTAGACGCAAATAAAAAAAATATAAAGATTAAATAATCGAAAAGAAATTAAACAACTAACAATTAATAAAAGAAAAACAGTTAATATAATTTTTATGGCGTAAACAAAATATAAAGATCGAATAATTGAAAAAAAAGAAATTAAATAACTAACATTTAGTCAAAATAAAAGAAAAGACAATTCTAATATAATTTTTATGACATTTTTTTTTAGGTGAAAAATAATTATAAACCTATACTATTTTGTATTTTTTCTGTTTTTTTACTAACAACTAAAATTAACTAATTCAATAAATAAGAATCTAATAAAACTAAATTAAATAAATAAAAGTAATTAGATAAAACAAAACAAAAAAATCCAAATAACGCTAAATGATTTTGTGAAAGCTAAATAAGATAAAAAGAATTTTTCAACATTTATCTCCAACCAATCAATTAGTGACAAGTGGAAATAAAAAAATAATAAAAACTATACAATAATGTAAACATACAGTGAGTGTGAATTGAAACCATTTGCAACCTACAATCTCCCTTTTACCTTCTTTTGCGTGTATTTGAGACAAGGTTGTCCACAATACTCTTTTGCTGATCAAGTTTGAGCTTTCAAAGAACTGGCAGTATCCTAAGCAAACGAAACACGCTACTACTGCAGCCGCACGCACGGATGGAAGAAATCTCAATCCAAGATCCCTATGTTCCTGAACTTCTGATCCAAATAGAACAAAGAAGTAAGTGAAAAGCTCGAAATAAAGAAGAATTCGTATACCTCCCTTCGAAGATCCCGACGAAGACTTCAACTCCGGTACGGTCTCAGGTAGTTTCCTCTTTCTGGTGATGAATCTTGGTAAAGAATACATGAGTTCTGGGCTGACGAATGGAGGATTTGGGGGTTTTCGCGGAGAGGTTGTGTGAGCCATAGAACGACGGAGGTGTCGGTGGAGAATCTTGCGTTGGTGTTGAGAGATGTGGAGGAATCGTCAAATTGTTTGGGAATGTGAACACAGGAGTTGAATCCGAAAGCTGGCTTGAGTTTTCTCCATTTGCTTGACATGGTTTGTGTGTAAGAGGGTTGAGTTGAGAGTTAGATGATTGAGAAGTGAGGAATGTGAAGATTTTTGTGGTGGAGAGGGGACATGGTGGAGAAGAGAATGATTGAGAAACAGATGGAGTAACACTGTTGTTGGAGGATTGAATCGGACTGACATGGAGTAGAAGAGGTTGAACCAACTGGTGTTGATCTGTACAGTGGGAATATGCGATGGAAATCAGTGTGGAAGATCCGGACGGAAAATTGAAGTGTTGAACGAAGGTAAGTTGTGTGCTGATGGAACCATCTTTGCCGGCCTGGAAGTAGTTAAGTTGAATTCCATATTCCTGCTTGATGTCATTGACAATATCCTTGGGCTTGTAGTCTGGACAAGCTTTCAACTTTTCCTTTATAATACTAGCCACCCAATTCCTAGTTGCTTGATGCCCTGTTGTACCAGCAGCCCCTTCACAAGTATGTTCCAAATTCATCCTTTTTTATGCATATCAACTGAGTACTCGACAGCCTCGATGCATGAATTCTCCAAGGGCAACCTTCTGCTTTGCATTTAACAGTCACGCGATGACTATCATTCTTTTTATACTTGAATGCAAATTGATGCGCAATGGCATATTTACGCAACGACTCTTGAAACTCATGTACACTGTTAAACCTTTGACCCACACCAGTAATAGTATTCTGCCACTGTTGTGCCAGACTGCAACTTGTACTGGGAATAGACTTGAGATTCCCATGTCCTCCAAAGCTGACTTCAACTTAGGGTGGAGAGAAGGGACGGAATGAAGAGGTAGTGGTTGAGATGTTGTCGCGAACAGTGATGATGAACGCTGATGGAGACGGAGGGTTTCAGATGATGGTTCGATGATTAAGTTGGAGCTTTGGCGAAGGGAATGGAGATTGAAGGATGTTGGTTGAGGCGCTGGAAATCGCAGAACAGGGTTGGGGTTAGCGGCTGATTGTAGGGGAATGCCACTATCTACTTGAATGCCCGTAACAAGCTTAGTAGTTGCTGTTGGTAGATAAAGGTCTTCGCCGTCCAGTTCAATTTTCTCCAACTCCCTTTTGATACCAGCTCGACGTTCTTCTTTAGGGAGTGGATATAATACACCAGAAATTGATGTAACTTTGTCGAAGAAATCAAACTCTCTTTTAAATATATCAAGTGCCTTTGGATTAAAACCGTCAATTATATGCTGCCTTACAGCTGGCAGCAGTTCTAAAAATGAGCCATTCTTCACACTGTTTGGATCTTTCCCTGCCTCAGGTACAGTCTCACCCTGCAGATGCCAGATAAGAATATGGGCAAATATGTCATTTCTTTGAGCAGCTCTAAGCAAGTAACCTTCCACTAATTTCCCATCATCGTGTCGCAATATCTGCACCAACTGTGGCATGAAAAAGGTCACACGTTCCGGAGGATAGGATTCCAACACCCTTAGAACATATGCCATGACCCGTGGATGGCCTTTGTATGCAGGAGTAAGGAAAAGACGAAGTAGCCATGAGTTGAGAAGCAGCGGAATGGATGGAAGTTAGGTGATGCGGTGATGATGATTGAACAGATTTTGTAAGGTGATATGAGATGGAGCTATTACGGTGGGATTTGATGTCGCACTCAACACCGTACCAATCACAGCAATCTGTTTTTGGGTCCCATGAGGCTAGAAGGTAAGGGTTGTTGAGTTCTTGTTTGATTCTGAGGAGAACTTTCTTGTCTTGTAGGTTGCATTTCTCAGATAATGTAACTGGGGAGAGTAACAGGAGGGACAGGAAGGTTAGAGCTATTGCAGCTCCATTAAACACGGTTCTCATTTTTGGTGGGGTTTGGAGTTTTACAAGGTTGAATGGTGGTGATTTACAGTGGAGTAGTGTTGTTGTTAAGGAGAAAGAAGGAGATGTTAATGACGGTGGCAAGGCATAAAGATTGGAAGAATGGGAGGAAAAGTCATGAGTATGTGTGGAAGGGTTACCGAGGCGGAGGGAATTGGAATAACGTTGGCATGTTAAAGGGAGATGGAGTATGCTGGGTTTACTGTGAATGGTTTTATCAAGTTGAGTCAGGTTAGATGAGAGGTAGTGTGTAGTTTTTGTTGTTTTGTCTTTTTTTGTTTTTTTTACAGCAGGTCCCGTTCTCCAGCTTCCCTCCACTTCAAGGAAAGTTATTAGAAATTTTTACAGGTGCTTTTACTTTGTTTTCCCGCCTTTAGAATGAATTTTTTTGGAGGGAAAAATTGTGAGTCTTGGACAAATTGATATGCTGATTTTTCCCTTTCTGATGCAGGATTTGCATCCTCTATTTTTGTGAAATTTTATACTGCTTTTGGACAGGTTTTTGGCATTATTTGTGCAGAATTTTGACTTGTTTTTGGACAGGTTTGACAGGATTTGGAGCAGCATCCAGTAGCATGTTTTTTTGGCAAGTTTTGGATATGATAGAACAACAACTAGCGCATGGTTGATTTGTGGGAAGCAAGTTTGGGAGAATATGGTTACACTCTTGTTTCATGAAGAATATGAGAAAGATTAAGAAACTTGAAAAATCAGGCTCTAAGATAATTCTTGTATGAATATGAGTACACCTTGCGCTTAGAATTGTAATGATCATTCTTGGAATGTTCCTTGGTATTTATGAAAAATTGAGGTTTCGAATCGCTCTCAAACGATGCCTTTAACTTGTAATTTCCAAAAGAATTTTCCCTTATCTTTTAAATTTGAAAACGAACTTGAATCATGCTTGGACTTGAAATAATTATTGAATAACATTTAGTCAAATAAGACTTGAATGTCTTTCATAATCTCTTGAATTTAAAATTGAATGAATTTGGATTCCTTGGATGGTTTTTTTTTTAACCTTGAAATGTATTCCAAATAAAACACCCAAACCTTTTACCATGAATCGAATCTTGATGAACAAATAAAGAAACTTGATCTAAATCCAATTTTAATTCATTAATTACTAATGCTCGAATACAAGCAACTTGTATTATAGCAATATATAATCAATGAATCCTCAAACTCAACATCTTGCCTTTACCCTTGACTTAGTGGAGAACAATCTCAATACAAAATCAATTCTAAGCCTAAAATGTTCAAGCGAAATTCATGGCCTTCCAAACGCATTCGGATGTCGATCCTTGAAGCAATCTTGTAGACGACATCATTTGTGACATGTTGCAAAAAGAACCATCCCGAAATGATGAAAATCGAAATAGTTACGATCCTTGAAAGTCGAGTAATTGTTACTTGAGATTAGGCCACAGTCATCAAAGTGACCTCTAGGTATCCGAACTTTTGATGATCCTCCGCACCTAATCAGACCTTGACTGGTAAAGAGGGGTTAGAGATGACGTCAAAGAGAATTGTACGCACAAGTAACCATTCAAAAATGTTGAATAATGAAAAGTTACGATCGTTTGAACTTGGATGTGTAAGTATTGACTTTTGGTCAAAGTGCTTTGAATTGACTCGCAAACTTGATCTTTCTTTGCATTCCAAAGCATCTTGATGCACATGTGAACCAGTGATGATGAAATCTTGTCTGTTCTCTGAGAGAGTTGTAGAGAAGCTCGAGACCACTTGTCGAACAAGGCGCGGAAATAAACGCACGATTCTCCTGATGAATCAGTCTTCACGAACCAACGATTAACTGTACTTCTGGCTTGAGAGATTCTGAACCCTAATTGAGGCGTGACGCCTGATGCTCTTGATTCAGATCTGTTTCCTGCAAATGAAAATAAAGGAACGAGAAATACCCACGCTGGAGTAGAAGTTAATGATACATAGGCTGAGAATGTTTAAAATACTTGACAAATTCTGCATAGCCAATGCTCGAAGGTAAGATGTCAAAACCGACTATAATTAGTGACCTTGACTTATGTTTGAAAAATGCAAAAAATAAAAATGGGATCTTAGGTCAAAAATTGGGGTACAACAGCATCAAGACAGAAGACTCTTGTAAATACTCCTTGATTTTATCGAAAGCAATTTGACAGTCATCATTCCATCTAATTACCTGATCTTTCTTCAACAGCTTGAAGATTGGTTCACAAGTAGATGTTAGGTGAGAAATGAACCTAGCAATGTAGTTTAGGCGTCCCAAGAAACCTCTGACCTCCTTTTCAGTGCACGGAGCAGGCATTTCTTGTATAGCTTTGACTTTGGCAGGATCAACCTCGATGCCTTTGTTGCTGACAATGAAACCCAAGAGTTTACCGGATCGGACTCCGAATGTGCACTTGTTAGGGTTCAATCTTAGCTTGTACTCCTTTAACCTGACAAACAACTTTTGCAAGTGATCAAGGTGTTCTTCTTCAGTTTTTGATTGGGCTATCATGTCATTTATGTAGACCTCTATCTCATGATGTATCATATCATGAAATAAAGCTACCATGGCGCGTTGATAGGTTTCCCCGGCATTCTTCAGTCCGAATGGCATCACTTTGTAGTAGAACGTACCCCACTGTGTAACAAAAGTAGTTTTCTCCATGTCCTCAGGTGCCATTTTAATCTGGTTATAGCCTGAGAATCTGTCCATGAAAGAAAATACTTTGTGCTGAGCTGTGTTGTCAACCAGGATGTCGATGTGCGGAAGTGGAAAATCATATTTAGGGCTGGCCCTGTTTAAGTCTCTATAATCCACACACATTATCACTTTGCCATCCTTTTTAGGCACGGGAACAATGTTAGCAACCCATTGTGGATAGGAAGTAACAGCAAGAAATCCAGCATTGAACTGCTTCACAACTTCTGCTTTGATCTTCTCTGACATGTCAGGTCTCATGTGGCAGACTTTTTGCTTAACTGGTGGACAGTCTTCTCTTGTGGGTAAACGGTGTACCATAATGTCTGTATCAAGTCCCGGCATGTCTTCGTATGACCAGGCAAAGATCTCAACGTAATCATGTAACAACTGAGTTAAGTGCTCTTTGACACTCGGCTCTAGGTTGGCACCCACTCTAATTTCCTTCTTGTCTTCCTCAGTGCCCAAGTTGACTGTATCCAACAACTCCTCATGAGGCAGAATTGCTCTTTCCTCTTGTTGTAGAAGTCTGGCCAATTCCCCTGGTACCTCACAATCTTCCTCACCTTCGTATTCGGCTTGGTAGATCAGATCTTCAGAGTCACTGAAGGCTATAGCATTATCGTTACCCATGGGTTCCGGAGTGGAAGGGTACCTGCATTTGTGAGTATGGGTGTGTGTAAGGGCATAGCCATCTTAAAATAACAAAATGTAAAAGAAAGACAATGAGCACGAAAGGTTTATATATTAAAAAGCGTCCATGATTCATTAAAATGACATATGAAAATGAAATAAGAACCCTTACAAATGGACCTATGTGCCTCGGGTAAGACACAAGGTTGAAAAAGTACGAATTGTTTGTGAATTATTACAGATCCAACAGAAATGGAAAAGATAAATTACTGCGGCATGAAAGTAATTGGAACAAAGACTTTTGCTTCCCAATTGCACAGTCCTCCGCCAACAGTAGGAAAAATCCAGTCTTCCAAGCTGCCATCTTCTTCAATGTCCTCTAGTGCATTAACCCCTTGGTGGCTGATCTTCACAGGTGGCCCTCTGGCACGGGTGCGGCGCACGGCCTTCTGAGCAGTCGAAGTAAATCCCAGGCCAAACTTGTCTGATTTGAAAGGAAAGTCTGGAAGCTGCCCCCAGATGGTGGATCCGCCTTCTTCCACTACTGCATTTGCATCCTTTAGAGAAGACATCTGAGGTACAGGTCTTGTGATCTCAGGAGTTGAGGATACCACCTTAGTCGCCGCTATTTCTTGAGAGACTTCTTCAAAATGTTGGAAAGGGGTTTCAATGAATTCGCCGTCTAACTCCACATATCGGAAAGAGTTCAGATGACTAATCATGTATTCCTCTTCACCATGGGCAATTATGATCTTCCCTTGGACGGGGTACTTCAGCATCTGATGCAAAGTCGAGGTGACTGCACCGGCATTGTGAATCCATGGATGTCCAATAGGCAAGAGTAAGAAGGACGGATGTTCATCACATAAAATATGGAATTGAACGTCTGGGTACCCACTTTGATCGGGATGTTCACCTCCCCATGGACCATCCTTTTAGAGCCGTCAAATGCTCTCACAATGATGTTGTGGGTTTTAAAGTCAGCCCCTCACAATCCAGTCTATCCAGGGCTTTCTTTTGCAAGACATTTAAAGATGATCCATGTGATCGGTGGGAACGAGAATTGACTGTTTTTTGAATGCTGGTTCGCGTTTGCGTTTGTTTTCGCAAAGTGTCACGGTAAGCAAGAGTCGCCACCGTCTTTTATTTTATCCAACAAGGAAAGGACAAAAGCACAGAAAAATTCCTTTTCGAGATTGTTTCTCGGGTTCGGGAGGTAGATTATAGAAAGGGAAGGTGTTAGCACCCTTTCTATCCGTGGTTATCCACGGGCTCTTAGGTACTTGCTCACTATGTTTT